TGAAAGAACTTATTAATTGGAACAAAACATAGGTTCTTATTAAAATTGAAACAAAACTTATAAACGTATTTTGCATGAACTTGTGAATTGGAGATGTAGCATGATGTAAAAGTAAAATAATGTATTATTATTATTTAATTAGTAATTTAGTATTTAAATTTTGATTCTTTTGATTTTTATATTTATTTTTTACTTAATTGATTTTTTTATGTAAAAATATTTAATATAATTTCTTGTTAAATTTTTTAAAAGATATTATATGTCAAAATTTAAATTTATTATATACATATATTAAAATCTAGATTAGTTTTTATTTTAAATTTATATGATTTTGACTATATTAATACTTTAAAATGGCAGATAATTTAGATTTGGATACATAACAAACTCAAATTTTCATCTTTGATTCTTTTAACTAAAAAATAATTCAAATTTTAATTAACAAATCAAAATTTTAATTTATAAAACTTTTAAATGATATTATCCCGTATTTATTTCTTTTGGCATGAGAAAAAGGTTGAAAGAAAAACATAGCGTAACCGGCTAAAGGAGATCCTTGATGGGTCATAGAAGGATCTTCACCCTTTTGACATAGACATTGCTCCAAACCCCTTCTATCTCCATCAATTAATTACACTTTACCATCTTAATTTTTTTATGTTATCAAAGGAATTTTAGATTATGGTTGACGGTGATTGGTGAAGAGAAATCAGCGTATTGAATTTGCAATTTGAATTGTGCAGCTTTCCATGAAAAGCAGCAAGATAAAAAGAAGAAGGAAAATTCAGCAAATTCTTCAACTTGACTCCCTGTTTGTGTGTAGGTGTGAACCAGAAGCTTCATCAAAGCATGATTGCATCCCTCACAGTTGGTAATTTTTGATTTCACAGAAAGGACTATAAAAATATGTATGTTCGCTTGACCCTATCATGATGGGAGTGAAATTATAGGCATTAATCACCTTGTGATTTTTCATTCAATGAGGTTATCATTGATCATTATGTTCATCAAGAGTGCCCATTCCTGTTCCCAATCTCTATTACAGTCAGATCTTAAAAGTTGGATTCATTGCAAAACCCACCAATGTTATCGCAAATCCAAACATCATGTTTTCCCCCATCCAGGTCTCTTCTGGATATTTTCAATCATCACCATTTGGTCTCAGAAACGTTGGATCTCTACAATTTACTCACTGATTAAACTAAACAACACATGCCATCTTCTAGAATACTTGTTACAAATTGACATTCATTATTGAACTGGGAAATGCAGCACACATGTTCTACCAAATGCCAATTTGATTTGGTTTGTCCTCAACAACAATTTGGTGTAGGAAAACAGAGAAATACAGGAACTGAAAATGATGGGAAATTGAGTAATTAATTTGAAGAACAACTTTCCAAGCATGTAGTAAAAATGGGACAGAATATAGACCTCTGATTGAGAAAGAGTGGCAAATATATGACAAGATGAGTTGGTACAGGGTTTCTGCTTCGGAGATGACAGTGACAGAATTTCAAAGAAGATACTCCCACTCTGCAGTAGAATATGGACTCTTTAAATTTGAAAAAAATAATTATACACACATTTTTTATTTTTATTTTAAAAAGTTTAAAATACGAATTTCTTTTATGCGATTCTGTCGAAAAGGTTTGATTCACCTCCCAGTTACTTATAATCTTTCTACCTTCATGATAAATTTAGTAACAGTCGAAGCTAATGAAAAACGCGAGGTTAATAGCTTAACTACATAAAGAGTGTGAATGACAAACTAAATGCATAGCTTTGACCGATCAAACAACTAAACTACCACGAAATGGAATGGAACGGAACCTGCAACGGTACTCTCGTATGATATCATTCTCTATCCAAAATCTTAAAGTGTAATGGATTAATGGGTCTTTGTTCTACTTTCTCATTTCTATCCAGTGTATGACTTGGATTTATACTTTGATACCCAACAATCTCCCTCTCAAGGATGAGTCCCTTCCACATTGGTACACTCCGAAAACATTGGATTAATGGGTCTTTCACCTTTATATATTGTTTTACTTTCTCATTTCTATCTAATGTAGGACTTGGACTCACACTTGAATACCCAACATTTAGTTGTAATGGAGAATTTAAGAGATTTTTCTATTCAATGAGATTTTCAAATAGAGTAAGATTTTATTTATTTTAACACTATAATAAATTTTTTAATTACCAATAAAATGTTATTGATGGAAATAAATCCGTTCATAAAACAAAATTTACTGATTGATTTTGATGTAAATAAATTTATGAGTAAAATATATTGATAAATGAAAATTTAAATCTATAATAAATATATATCGATAAATTATGTTAAAATTAATCAGTAATTTATAATTTTTATTATTAATAATGAATTTTTATCCATCAATAGTTATGAGAATAATTATTCATAGATTTATGATTGTCAATAATTTTACGAAAAGAATTTTTTATTCATTGATAGATTTATCATTGACCATTTTTTTGTTATCATTAACTCATCAGTAATTTAGATTTATTAATAAATTTTAGACATTATCACGGTTGTCAATAATAACAGTTTATCTTGTAATGTAAAGATGTTTTGTTCTCTTTTTTGTTATGTTTTTTTCATCAATCTTAATGGATCACTTAAGAAAATATATAATCTTAACTTGTTTTATTACATACCGAAATTTTATTATATTTGAATATTTTATTCTAACTCCCTAAGTTTTGAGAAATCTTTCTTGAATTTTATTTTGTTTTGAGGATAATCTTTTAAGATAAAGAAGCTAGTAAAAGTTATACCATTAATTCTTTAATATTATATTATATGATGAGAACGTGTTAAATTAATGAAACACTAACCTCTATTATTATTGAGTAATTTTTAATATAATGACTGAACTAATGTTACCTATATGGTATCTTAAGTAACCAATAAGATGTATTTGTCCTACCTATTTATTTATCCATATTTTTAATGACCCTAAGTGTAGTTAGATTTACCAAAACGACACATACTTATCTTTGACTAAGCCGGACATCAAGATAAATTATTAGCTCTAATACTATTAAATTTTTTTAATGAAGATATTAAACTTTGGGTCTTGGTCAATCAACATTCTAACCTCTGAAATATGAATTGCCTATAGAAAAAACCTAACACAGCTTCCAAACAAAAAATCTTAAAACTTAATATTCGTAAGTTTTATACTTTTATATATCACTCTACTTTTTCCTAACATGTGACTTCCAACTTATACTTATATCCCTAACCATAATAATTATTCCTAATATCTTATATAATAATTCACAAATAAAACTAATATTGAATTAATAATCAACAAAACAAATTAAATGTTTTTAACTATTTATTTAGTTTCACATTCTTTACCAGAAACACATGTGGCAACTATCACACATGATATATATATATATATATATATATATATTAAACCTAAATCTGAAACCATAAAAGGTGTTAAAATAACATTACAAATGCACCATTAAGAAATTTTATAAATTAAAGCAAAATTATATTCGTAACTAGCATCTTAACATTTTTTAATCATCTTATAATATTTATAAACTATTTGATTTTTTTTCTTTTGAATTTCTTAAAACTTCTTTTCTGATATATAATTCAATGTCACAATTAGAAAACAAAATATGGAAAGATAGACATTTTCCTTTTTCTGAAAGCATTATTTTTTTGTTTGTTTCCAATGAAACATAGAATAATATTATCTATACATGTTTAAAAATGAAATTGTTTTGATCTTTGCTTTTAAATATGATTTTCTCTTATATATCTAGAAAAATATATTAACCAAAAAGAGTTTAATTTCATCTACAGCTGATTTTATTTTGTCTATAATCATGACAAAGATGCTTTGTATCGTGAAACCAAAATAATGTTTAATTTTTCTTGTTTTCTTAAAAAAATTGGGCTAACAAAGACTCTAAAACTTATGTTTCGCTATTATGCTTGAGTCAAAATTTCGGTTTCAATTTTATATTTTATTTTGTTTCCTCAAAATATATTATTTTACTTACTTTTTTTAAATAAAAAAAAAAACCTTGCATAACAAAATTATAAATGAATTGTTTGTTGTGGACCACGGAAAGTGTACAAGGCCATCCAAAAATGGGTATTTCTTTCTGCAGCGCTTAATTTATTCATACACCTCCATGTTTTTAAAATTTTATTTTATCCTTTGTTATTTATACGAGTATGTGGTTTAGAGTTTTTCCAATTATGTAATCGGAAATTTTTTTGGATTTTACAATCCATAAGAGCATATATAAATTTAGTGTTTCTTATAGGATGTGTAATTCAAAACTTAAATAGTATTATGAAATACATAATTTGAAATACAATTTTGAATTCAGGAAAGTACTCAACAAAAACATGTTAGTTGTTCATATGCGAAAGGCTTCACTTAATGTGCATGTTTAGTCCATTTTTATTTTTCTTCCACAATCACACAAATTCTCACGAAAATTCTTATTTATTTTGAGAAGAACTTTCCGTATAATAAAATAAATTACGTTTTAAAAACCTCAGTCTAAAATAAAAAGGAGGTGATAAAGATATAACTGTGTGGTGTAGAAAGCCAATAAAACAGATCACGGTTAGTGAAACCAAGCTAGAGCCCAATTTTAGTTTCTTTTGCTGATGATAGTGAAAAAACGAGACCAATTAGAGTGATTTCAAATAAACCTCATCTCATAATTTTTTATTTAAATATATTTTTAGATTCTTGAATATATAGTTAGTTTCTTTTGTCCTCTAAATTTAAAATTTTTCTTTTAATTTTTAATTTTGAAAAATATTTAATTTTTTACATTTTTTAATATAACAAATTCCAAATATTTAATTTGAAAAAACAATTAATTAAAAATAGTATCCAACATTGTTATTGTGTAAGATAAAGGAGAGATAAAAAAAACAAAGGAGAGAACAAAAAGAAGTGAAAAATATAAGAAAAAGGAAGTGAAAACAAAACAAACAAAAGAGAAAACAGCTACTCATAATAGAACGATCAACCCCGACAGATATCGCTTTCTCTCCGAACAAAACCAGTATGGCTGCCTTCAGCGGCGACGAAACCGCTCCTTTCTTTGGCTTCCTTGGAGCCGCCGCCGCCCTCGTTTTTTCATGTACTCTCATCAATATATTTTTTTCTTCTTTTTACTATCATCATTTCGATTCGCGATGTCATTTATCTGAATTTTTGCGCCGTTTCAGGCATGGGTGCGGCGTACGGCACCGCGAAGAGCGGCGTGGGGGTGGCGTCGATGGGAGTGATGAGACCGGAGCTGGTAATGAAATCGATCGTGCCTGTCGTGATGGCTGGTGTGTTGGGGATCTACGGTTTGATTATTGCGGTAATCATAAGTACGGGCATTAACCCTAAGGCCAAATCCTATTACCTCTTCGACGGTTACGCGCACCTATCTTCGGGTCTCGCTTGTGGCCTCGCTGGCCTCTCCGCCGGCATGGCCATCGGCATCGTCGGCGACGCCGGTGTCAGGTATTCATCTTTTCAATCCTTCCCTTTTCATCATGAACTGTTCTTCCTGTTGTTCGGATCGAGTTATTGCTACTGTTCTGTTTTCTTGTTGTTGGTTAGTTATCAAATACTGCGCATGTGGGGGGGAGTCTGTGTATACGGTTTTATTTTGTAATATTTTATGTGATGGACTGATTGGTACCGGTAATTCGAGCATAACATCAAAAGACATATTTTTTCACTTATGTGGACTAGTTTTTCAGAGTGTTTTGTATGATCGTGACTTGCGAGTTTACAACTTGCAACACTAGAATGAAGAAATCAAGAAACAACTTTTGGGTCTTGTTATGCTTAGTGATGAACGCATCTCATTATTTTTTTATTTATTGAACTTATTATTTCTACTTCTGGTGTTGTTACTACTAGTATTACCGCTTTTGTTTGTGATTTGTATAATAACTTGTTCCCTATGTGTGTATGCGAAATTGATTTCGAATGAAGTTAATTATGCCATATTCATATTGGTTATAATTTATTTTGAAGTTGTGTGATTTGTATTTGGATTTTCATTTGTTCTAAACGCAACTTAGTGGTAACACTAAGTACAATATTTTGTATCAAATGTTAAAGATCATTAAAGTTGTTTCAACTTGAGATCAATTATGTTGCTGATAACAAAAAATAAAAGAAACACTTAAAATCAATTCTTAGACCCATAATCAACTCCTTACGTGGAAATTGTGAAATTTACTTAAAATCACGTTAGATGCCATTTCAACGTGATTTTAAACATGGATGATTCCATGTGAATCCAATTAGCTTTGGTACCTGATGTGATATTTTGACCCTCACCTCTGTGCAACCTACCACCACTGCTTTGGTACCATCAAAATAACTTCTCTCTACTCACATTTTGGTGAAAGTTGTTGATGTTTAGATATGTTTGTGTGTGCGTATTGTCAACTAAGTTTCATTTCCATATATGCTGCAATCCTTGAATTCATTTGTGAATCCAAAATCACAATGGCCTTTTAAATATCGCAATTTGGAGAGATGGAATGTGGTGGAATGTTGAAGACTCCTTTAGCATATAATTGGCAGAAGGAATGTGTGGTCGAGCAATTTGTGAGAATTTTCTTTGATCTACTAATAAGTGTCTTATCAGTTGAAGATAAACGGTTACCAAGTTGCTAGTGATGGGTGCAAGAGATCTCATCGGGTTGCTGTTATAAAGATTGAATGTTTCGATGTCTTTATTGTGATAAAATGCAAGGACAGAAAAAAGTAGTTCAGAGCCGTAATCACACGTGCTGCAAGGAATTGTTAGTTTCTTCGTATCCTGGGATGATAGTATGGTGTCTCTAGTTGGGTAAAATTTTTTATATGGTTATTTTTAGACGACACATCACATTGCATTTTAATTTACTCCTGTTGATTCATAATTACTAATGAGAATTTAAGATTTTAAGTTTCATTTTAACAAATTGAATTTGACATGTTGGTAATTCTTTTTCAGGGCAAATGCTCAGCAGCCAAAGCTTTTTGTTGGAATGATTCTCATCCTTATTTTTGCTGAGGCTTTGGCGTTATACGGTCTCATTGTTGGCATCATCCTCTCTTCTCGTGCTGGCCAATCCAGGGCTGATTGATATAAAACTTCATGTTGGATGGGGTTCGCAACCACAGATTGTGAATGTTACAGTGGAGTCCGGCTGGGTAATGTTTGTGTAACTGCTGCTTTGGCTTGCTCATGTGAGTCTATCTATGTTTGCATCATAAAACTAAGGCTGTCCAGTAATAATGTCAGTCAAACTTTTCCCAGGCCGAAATTTTTTAATTATATGCTCAATCCAAACTAGAATAGAGATCTCCATAATAAGACAGATGTATGTTTTGATTCCATTTACTTTCAGTGTTTTTTCTACTCCTCAAAATGCCTCCCCCTAAATCTATTCTTATTTGATTTACTTCTCCAATTTGGTGCGAATTAAATATTAATGATAACTATTGGAATTTGGGATAAAAATAAAGTTTGTTGATCTCCTATCGGGAAGGAAATTAGCGAAAGTGTGTTGATATTACCACACACCTTTGTCACCTTCATTGCCTGTTTTGTTGGAACTTATTATCTTATTGTCACTCCCGCGTAGCAAGCTTTTCGTCTTTTCCTCACTTCTTACTTGCTCCTAGCTCATACCATGCATGTTTCTCTGTAACCATTACCTTGAGCTGAATAGGCAGTTGTGATAGCCTCAGAAGAAGTATGATCGTGGGACATGCTATTTTGAGTCAGTAGACGTTGCACTTCTCAAGAGTTCAACACGAATCTCCAAAGAAAGAACGTGTTATGAAGCTCGACCAACTTCAAATATAAAAAAATAGAGTAATAGTCCTAAATGGACATAGAACCCAGTTGATAATTTGCAACCTGAAGTTCGAGCTGAAATCGTTGTCATTGTAAATAGTCAAGTAATCCCATGTATCTTTCGCCATAAAGAAACAGCACAAGGCTCAATTGAAACAACTATCCAACAAATATTTGAAGGAATCATAAAGGTCTGATTGACAACCTCTAGGTACCATTTTAGAATTTCTAACTTTTTGCCCACCATTCATTGACCATCATGCCCTCTATAAATATTATAAAGATGTGTATAATCATCAAGAACAATAATGACTCAACTATTCTAATTCCTATAATTAGATAATCTAACGAACACGCATATTTCTAACTTAGTCTTTTACTTTTTTTCATATTCGACTTCCTTCATATTTTAACAAGTGTCACTGGTAGTGGGTAAAGAATCAAAGAGACTTAACATGAGTGGATATTCAATCGTTTAAAAATGATATAAGATTCGTGAAGATTATATGTTCCATTTATTGAAAACAATGTTTACTTTATAAAAAGGTGATTAAAGTTGTTTGGAAATACTTGTGAGGCAGAGATGTTAAAATTTAAATAGAACAAGATGTATGTGAAATTTTTGTTTTCAATATATTACGTGAACGCCTATAGAGAAATTATTTATCAAAATATTCAAATAGATTATAAAGTGTAATGCAGATGTCACCTAGAAAATAACCAAAAAGTTCATTAATATATAGGAATTGAATGTATTCTTTTAGGAATGACAAAATACTAAGTGTTGATACTATGTAAAAGCTAAAAGTGAGAATGATAAGATGATTGTAAATATTATTGTTTTTGTTCACTGATTTCTTGTATTTCATATGCCCTTAATATTTCCTTAGTAATTTCTTTACTTTTATATTTCTTGTTTCATTTATATTTGGGTATATTTCTCTATTTCACTTTTTTTATTCATCGTTTATCTTTAAATCGTGTTGATTTGAACTTAAATCGTTTACTATTCTTAATTGATATATTCCTTTTCATCATTTTCATACAATTTTCATCTCATATCAAATTTATTTTCAAGAATTTATACATACAATGCATAAGTTATACATTTATATGTATTCCCAAAGTCAAATATCTCCCATAAAATTAAGTACAAAAATATTTTTATCAGAATCTAATAGTTTTGTTGATATTTGGTGCTTCTAATAAGTTTAATAAAGTGTTTTATATAATCTTTAGATTATTCAAATTGAAACTTCTTTTTATTCCTACTCTAAATAAGAAGAATCTATAAATTTATTTGTTTTTATTTAATATTATGATAAAAAAAATTATTTTAAGTTTCACTTAAAATAAAATACAATTATAAAATCGTCATATATGACTGAAGACATTGTATGAGAAATAATAAAAGAAATTATTCAAAATCCTTAGACATTATATTTATTAGAGGTGACAAAATGGATCTATTTAACCTCTTTTGATCCCATCCAGTGCAACTGGCTCACCAAAATTGGACTTGGCTAGTCTGCATGGAGAAAACGAGTTGAAAACTAAAGTCCATCCTGTAACTAGGTGGGTTGGCCCGTCAGTTTTTAATTTGTTTTTCTGCTCTTTTGCTATGATGTGATTGGGTGTTGCTCTCTCCACCACCACCCTTTCCTCCCTCCACCTCCTCAATCCTCTACAAAAAAAATTTAATTACAAAAGTAGCCTTTTTTACTTTTAATCCTATTTATTTACTTTATTCTGAAACCCTAAATTCCTACCTATATTTATTCACCCATTTTCACTCACGCAGCCCCACCCTCTCCCCCCACTCTCCCAAGTCTCACTTTCTCTCTTTCCAGATTCCCACCCCCTCCAACTCTCACCAGATTCGTTTCTTCTCATCTCCTAACTCTTACTTCTCTTCTCCATATCCGTTTGGTTTTGTGGTGCGGTGGTGTGGCTTTTCATGGTGCGGCGATGCGGGGTGTTTGAGGTGGTCATTCGGCGGTGCAGCGGTTCCAAACGATAATGAATATTTTATGACTAACATCATAAAAAAATAATTTTATTGACATTGATAAAAAAATTCTAAATGACATCAATGGAAACATATATCATTAATGTTGGTAAAAAAAATGATTGCAAAATAAATCTGGAAATTAACCACAATCAATTGTTAACATGGGAGAAATATTCATTATTGTTAGTAAAATCTGTTAAAGTATCTATATCTCAATTTCAAAACGATAACGGAATAAAAAAAATGAAAAATGTATACATGAATTAATTAAAAAAATTTCAAAAGTTCAAAATTCTTACTATTTAATTATAATTTAAAATTTTCTAAATTTAAATGATCAAATTCCTCTCTTTAAGTTTTAAAATTTCAATATTTTAATTTTTTATTTAAATGATTATATAAAATGTTTCAACCTTTTTATAAAATTAACTATCCTCCACAATATTTTTTTGACACATTGCGACATATATTTTTTCCTTATGTATCAACATTTTTTTATGTGAGATTGCTTAACTCTTCGTACGTTGATGTGGGTAAGATAAACAATCAGAAAGTTCAAAAGATACAACAATGGAAAGAAGCATAAAAAACAGAGACAAAAGAAAATGAAACATAGAAACATGGGTCCACCATTAAAATGGTTGTGTTGTTTGGGTGATGAGATCGAAAAGAGAAAGAAACAACATAATTGTCAATAACAAATGCTTGTTAATTAGGCATAAACCAGACTATCGCATTCATGTAGGGGATTGAAGTGGGTAGAAGTTAAAAAATATTAACTCTAAAAATAAAATTATACTAAAGGGTAAAATAAGAATAAGAAGGTGGAGGGAGGAATAAAACAGGAATGGGAAGGTGGAGGGAGCAAGAGGTGGTGGTGGAGGGAGCAACACCCGATGTGATTGAGTGTTCTATTTTTCTTATGGCCCAGTATTTTATGACCCAGTTTTTAAGACCAAGGGCTTCATTCTATCTCTCTCTCCCCCGCATGCTGCCACTGCACTTCTATGTCTGGCTAGAACTATCTCTCTCATGCGATCACAAAATATATCTTGATTCAAATTTGATTTTTATTTCTTACTTTTCCTTATGGAAAAGTCATGCAAGACCAAGAACAACGAAGACCCCAAGCTTGAAACATGGTTGTTGTAAATTAGGTTTTGTTACCGTTGAGGTCGTGTTCAATATTGCATGTTTAAAATTGACATATAATTTTATTTGAGTTGATTTCACTTGAAGGTACATTAAATTGAAGATTGTGGTGCCGAGGATGGCGATCATAGGGTTACACACAAAGAATTTAGGGATTGAGAGTGTTTAGGTCGATGGTGAGTCCAAAGAGTTTGAGTATTACTTGCATTAGCAGAAGCAGATGAAAGAGGATAAGATGTTTAGTTATGTGTGTTCTCCTAACTCTCTTGCCAGAGCCACACATGTGTTCTTTTTTTTTTCTTAAACGGGTCGGCCCGTCCCGACATGCTTCTTGATCCGATGAGCATATAGGCTATGCAAGTTAGGCTTGTGCGAGTTGACATGTTAAATGGTGGGTAGGTCCATCGGATCAGGTCCACTTTACCACCCCTAGTATTTAAAGATATGAAATATAATTGATCATTTAAATATTCTTATTAATATAAAGTATATCCTATTTTATGTATTTGGTGTTACTTAGATAGTTCTTATTTACTATTCAATCAAAAGAGTTAAGGAGATTTTTGAACATCAAGTATTTGTAATTGTTTTTTTTTCTAAGGTTGCAATTAAGTTTTCATTAAATATTTTTATTTTTTGGATTGATTGATTTCTTTAATTATTAGGAATCTATTTAATAACTGTACAATCTTCATAATGCATAATGCAAATTTATATTTTGAGTTGTACAATTCATAATGCAAATTTGGAAGATAACATAAGGTGCAAAATTTTTTATATGGGGTAACTAAGTCATTTCACTAAGACTACATGGCTAGGAAAAAACATAGGGTAAAAAAGAAATCCCCATAAGGGTGTTAATTTAACATATGTTGCATGAGTCAATTTTAAGTCATTCTTAAATAAGTTTTTCATTTTATTAGTCCATCAAATGAAAAGACTCAAAAAGTCCTAATTGTTAAAGCTCTTTCATGAAATAGGTTAAGATCAAGGCCAAAATGAATTTGATATCATTAGAAGACTTTAATTAACTCTTAAATACAATACCTTCAATTAGGGTCAAAGCTTGTGTCATGTCAAATTTTTTCGAATGTATAACCGAGTCGACCTAAACTAAAGGTTGGGATAAATCAGTCCAGGCCGAATGTTAAGATGAATCGACCCAGGTCGAAAGTTGAGATAAATCGGTTCAAATTAAAGGTCAAGATGAGTCATCCCAAGTTGAATATTGAAATGAGTAAGCCCAAATTAAAGGTCTAGTCGAGTTGGTTCAGATTGAGCGGTCAAGTCTTTGGTTAAATATAACTCAACTTTACCCTTCTTTCGTAAGTAATCGAGTTGTGCATATTTAGATTCTTTCACCCTCTACTTCATTCTTTCATTTTTCTTTCTTAGTTCT